GAAAAAATAAAGAAGGAACAGTGAAAAAAGTCTCAAAGATGCATTAGCTACTCATTGTTTCAAAACTTTTGTGTTTTGCTCTGCTTTTTAAATATATAAGAAAATTTAGTAAAAAAAATTAGCAAGCTGTCTGAATCCTCATAACTAAAACCAGAATGGAAATTCTAATTAATTCATTTCTGTAAGGAAGATCTTTCAAGTCCAAGATAGAAATTTGGACAAGACAAATCAAAACAAAGATAAAGACAGACAAAAGCAGAAATAGGAATCGGGAATAACATATAATAGTCTCAGCAACAAATTTACCTAATAGAGTTGTTTTAGATTGGAGAAGAAAAAAATTCAGTTTGTCCACAGGAGAAAAGCCCTTTTAAAACTGGAGTTCTTAAGATATAGAAAAAAACTTGTCTTAAACAGCTGGAAAACAATGAAAAAGTAAATCACTAAGCTGGAAAGCCCAGGAAGTGGAAGTAATTAGCTTCCTGTTCTTGTTTTTTTGCTTTGGCAGGCCTTTATTTTAATTTTTTTAATTAAATGATTTTTTTTTCAGTTCCTCCCAAATGATTCTCACTTAACCTTCACACAGAAGAAAAACCTTGTTGAGGGCTACTGCAGCAAAACCTTTCACAGCATCCATCAGCTTATCCTCCAAGACAGCAACGAGGGTGCAGACTTTGAAGGCCTGGTCTCCCTCCTGCATGCAAATAAGATCTGGTCTTGAGCAGGGCTAAACACACTGGACTCCTGGAAGCTTCTCATTAGGAAGAGATGAAAATGATCATCTTTCAACGCCTTTTAAGAACTGCTTTCTTGCTAACAGATTTTCACATGCACTCCACTTGTCTCTGAACTATTTATTTGTCACTCAGCATGAAATAAGGTGTCTAACCATCTGATAAGAGACAATTGCTCCTTAACATGGTTCAAAGCTGGGGACTGGAGGGGGCCCTTCTTTGAACATTAGTGAAGCAGCACTGTACTTTGGCTCAAACTAACTGAAGGATTATCCTGAACAAAGCTTGCTCAGAAAAGCTTTTGTCAACAAAACTAAAGACAAGTGAGTTCTGAGGTGAACATCATGATAATGATCCTCCTCGAGGAAGAAATACCCTTCTACTCCATATTTGGTAATATACAAAAAAAGTAATGTCCCATTAACTTCTTTACTTTCTGGAAATAACAACTGGATATTCACAGCACTTTTTATTTGGATCTCTATACTGAAATTCACAGCAGCTTTCTGATCTGTTCATAAAGTCATTCCTTACATACAGAATTCAATCATATCACAAATACTATGTTAAAAATAAATGGCACAACTTCACTACTGTCTTACAAGAACGTCTAACGGCAACATATACAAGCTCAACACCAATCCCCTCCATAACTATGACTCATCACAACTATTTCACTGCCTCTTTTCTACTTTTATAACTCTGCTTTCTTACAATAAATAGTTGAACTTACTCTATTTCTAAAAAGGAAGCTTTTTTCTTCCTTTTCTTCAGCCTCATATGCAAACCTGCACATGTCCTTTTGTCTAATGCAAAGCTGTGCAGCATGCAAAACTTAGTGAAAACTGCAAGCCTCTACACCACACTTACTCCTTTCTTCTGGGTTCTATCACTGCCAGTGCCAGGGAGATAAAATATTTCAATTTTATTTAAATATGAGAGAATATATTTAAGCTTCTTATATTACTATTCCCCTAAAGTTTATTTGGTAGAACAATTGGGAAAGCATTTAGAAACTAAAATGCCTAATAACAGTCATTTTTCCTTTGATTCTACAAATATTCTGTGAGTGTCCTCCACCTCTACTCTCACCTACGCATTTCAAAATGTGCCACCAGCTTCAGAGTAGAAAAATATATATATAGGAAGTCTCATGAAGCTTGAAAGGCGAGAGATACGATTCCTTTTCTACTTCATCCCTGTTCCACCAACTGAGTATAGCCCGATGAGTGTCTTAAATCTGCAGATGTATCAGGAAAAATAATTAGCTAATGCTTTTCACGAACATGTTCAATACAACTATTTTCACATCAAAGCTTTATTTCTAACAAAGACCTTGAACAAACATCCCTAGCAAAAGTATCTTCACAGAGCCTGCCTCGGAATACCTGAATGCTGTTGTTATAAATTCTTTATTGCACAGTGATCTCACAGTGACACCAATAACTAATTGTCACCAAGATGAAAGAATATAATTTGACATTGTTCATTTCAGCACACATAAAAATGCATTTTAAGTAGAAATGCAATGCTAGAAATCAAGCACTCTTTTCTGAGCAGCTTTTGGTAAAAAGCAGGGAAGAGTTGAAAGCCAGCGAACTTGATAGAAGGGTCAAAATTATTTGTGAAATAATTATTATTAATAAATAGAAGGTTACAGTGTCTATATTAAAGGTCCAGATTTCAGTAATCTTTCTCTACTGAAGTCAAACAAATTTATCTTAGCTGATAACCTACCACAATTTTATCGCTTGCAATACATGGAAAAAAGCCATTCCATGTCAATAAGCAGATTCCATACCAATCCCTGATAACACATGCAGATTAACAGGATAATTAACCCAGAACACAACTTTGCCTAAGGTATGTTTTCACCACTTAATCAGAAGTCTGTAAAAATGCATGAATGTATGCCAAATCAATATGATGTAAACATAAAAAAATTAAAAATGGAAAGATTCCAACTTGTAACTGGTTTTACAAGTCTGTTTCTCCAGTTATGCTCTTTCCTATACAGTATCCATAATTCCACAACATACGCATCAGATAAAAGTTCATTTATAAAGACTTTCCACAGAGGCAGTGATCTCTACAAGATATAGAGGAACACACACCCGGCTTGCTTGCTTCCTTTCTAGCTCCAGTGAGATTTTAAAAAGATCTTAAGAAGGTAATGTACAATGAATAAAAGCCAAAGACTATATTTCTTGAAGAATTCTGTTGAGAAAAAAAAAACCTCTCATGATTAGAAAGATTGAAAGACAGTAATCTCTATAACAGATTTATCAGGGAAGCTGATTTAGTGAGGAGAAAAACCAAAGGAGAGAAAAACAGTTGTCCAGCAACTAAAAACTTCAGGCCTATTTTTCCAATGTTGAGTTACGAAGCAGTAGAAGTCAAGCACCATGTATTAATACTTAGGCCTAACCTGCAGCTTTTGGCCAGAGGGACTAAAATACTCGCTGGTAGTGTTGGAGAAGGCAGCACAGTGACACACGGATGACTGTAGATAGCAGCCCCACTCCACTAGAGGATTTCTGCAATAGCTTCAGCCGCTAAGAAGTGGAAAAAATTAGCAAAATCTTGAACAGCCTGCACTGCTACTGAGCCCCAAAAGCTCTTGAAAGCTTCCGAGGCCCAGCAGCTGCAGAGGCCATTTATCCTACTGAAATGAGCCTCACGGGAGCACGTTTAATTTAAGTCCCTGAAGTTAACACCATTAGAAAATATATTTCCTTGATGATTAAACATTAAGTACGTATTTCAAAGCATTTGAAATAACTTAGAACTAATGAAGGACTAATTGCTTCACTACATGCCTTCATGTAATGATGTATAAAAACATTATGTCAACTTTCTAATATCAACTTTTGCATCAATTAATTACACGTTTTCCAACAGTTATCCACAGTCACAATTAGAACATATGAAAATACTCTTATAATTAGTTTTCTGTTTCAGAGAAACTGAAACAAGTGTGAAGACTTAGTTGACTTTTTTAAAAACCATTAAAGCTGACAATTACAGTCAAAAGTCGTGTTTGAAATTTCAAACTCCGTGGCTAGTTGTGGTTACATCTGATTCACTGCTGCAGTAACTCTGTGCTGGAGCTTCTGAGATGAACAGGATAACGGCACCCACAGCACAGGGACCCTGCAGTCTCTGCACCTTCGGTCATGGCAGGAGGAGACAGTGACTTGAACCCTCCTGCAAAATCACAGCTGACACCACTCGAAGGATGGGCGTATTTCAATTAATGGCATTTCTGTCTTGCTAGGTTGTAATCAGGGGCTTTTATCACTAATGGAGAAATAGTCACGCTGCTCAAATTCAAATAGCATCATTAAAATAAGAACAATGTTTACAAATTTATTTCAACATGTTTTCTCAGAGCTGTTAAGAAGCTTTGTATCTTAGGAGAAAAAAGGTTATGTATCATTATATTAAGTACGACAAAACCCTCAAAGAATGATTGCAGTATTTGAACTCTGTGCTTACAAGAAATTACTTATTTCTGTGTTGTCCTATGCTTCAATAAAAATGAACTTATTTCCAACAATGGTCACAAAAACATCATCTGATGAAGGCATTAGCCTGGCCTTTTTATCCCACATGCATATACATTATTTCCTCAGCCTTTACAAAAGCCCTCTGGCCATTTCAAAGCAGGTAGGTAGTCCCATTGATTTCAAAATATTATAAACTTATGCATAACTGTCGGCATGGTTTAAGTGCTCATTTACAGACTCTTCTGCATTATAAGGGAACATAAAAATGATAACCAGCAACACAGGAAAGAAAGGGGGTGGTAGCAAAAACATTCTAAAAGGAGGGGAGAAGAAGGATAAAATTTTTCAGTCTATTTCTATTTCACATACATTCCTATAGTTTTAACAGTCTCACTACAAAAAAAAACAGTGACGTCAGCTTGGACATGGATAAAACATGCTTAAACTGTCATGAATCATGAAGTATTAAATAAGAAAATCACTTTAGGGTTCCTCTATCATTTAATTTTGTTACATATAATATCTGTTCTCCATATAAAAGATAATAGGTAAAAGACTGTTTTGAATTAGAAGTTCTGAGAAGTTTGGTTCCATCATCTTAGAGGTCGTGTCATTAATTCCATTATTACAATGCAGAGGGAGAAGCAGGGAACCCCAGTTGGGTCCATTACGACCATGTGGGGGACCACAATGAGCCACATGCTTCACAACCACATCTCACTAGTGCAAAGCATCCCAGCATGAAAATTACAAAAAAGACCTGTCCTCAAGGGGTATACAGAGCAAGAAATTCGCACAGATGTTTCTAAAATAAAAGTTGAATTAGATTAATATTAATGCTTTAATCTTGTCCCATTACATTTTTCCCAATCCATTTTATATCAACAGAAAACAATTTTATTAATACTCATACATGAAGAAACTTGGGGGCATTAGTTTCTTTGGACTGTAAGACTTGACCTTTATGCAGAACATATTAAGCAGTGATCTCATTGCCCTGCTATTTGACATCTACAAGCTGCTCAGTTAGCACTTTCTGAGGATGCTCAAAGTGAAGCACTCTTCAAAAGACTGAAATCCATGGACAGAAACAAAACAAATCCCTAATGCAGGTGGGCTGTAAACCATGAGAGCAAGATTAAAGATTTGGATTCCTCAGTCCACTCTCAATTGCTTAATGTATATTTATGTTGAAATATGACATGGAATTTTAAAGAAGTCAGAAACAATGGGAAAGGTGTTTTAAACTTTCATCAAAAAGGGATATTAAAACACTAAGCTGCTTTTTAAACATTCTGAATTCAATTTTGCTCGTTTGGAACTAAAAATTACTCATTTTACCATCAAATAGCATGCAAACTCCTTGGGTGGGTACAGGGGTACATCGGTACATGCACACGGTTGGGAAGTGGGGTAGCTCCCCAAGGGAGCGCAGGAATCCTCCTCCTTTGGCTTTTCTGTTGAGAATGGGAGAAAGGAATTTCAGTTAAAAACTCACCGATTCCAGTTTTCTGTTGAAAGCAAATATCTAATGCCATCAGAAATAAAGATAAAGCATCTGATGCAGCAATACTGACAATGAGAATTTTGACATTAACATTTATGAACCTAAAGTTGGCCTTTATCTTTTAGCATGGGAATTGTATAATTCTGTCCAACAAAATCTGCCAGCCCTGGGTCTACAAAGAGTCCTGGAAGCTGCACGTATAGTAATCAAAGCTGTTTTCATAAACTAAGAATATAAAACTGTGGGGAAAATACACAGATTCATTTGCTACTGTCTGGAGAGCTAAGAACCTCCTGGCATCGCAGCAAAAGGTCTGAGATAACCAATCTTTAAAGGGAAGCCAAGAACAGTCACTCTGTTGCTTCATTTATAAAACTGCAGGGACATTAATAGTTTATGCCATTAAGATGAAAGGTCAAGTCCAACACATTTTTTAAATATCCTTTGTGGCAACCACAGCCTTAGCTCTCTGGCAGGTAGGATGAAGGGCTGCATTTCACAGGACTCCAGATGGCCAATAGCATTTTAAATTCCGTGTCATTTAATTCTGCTCAAAGCTTAGGCTGTGTGTCATGGTGTTTAGAATATGAATGGTTTCCAGTGTTTTGTAATGCCAGCACTTCCACAATTGCTGCTCATGTGAAAGTGAAACTACCAGGAGAATTATGCTAGAAAAGCATTCATCCTTTAGCCTGTGCAATAAACAGTGTTAAACTGGCATGCAGTAATTCCACTAGTAGAATTGGCTTTCTTGTAACGAGGGGACTCCAGCTATTACTTCGGAAGCCAAATTTTACCATTAACCAAGAAGGAAGTAAGAAACAAAGTATTTAAGAAAACAGCAAGCATTCCAAGAAATAAACACAGCTCACAAATACCAACATAGAACAAAAACATGTAATAGTCATTTAATGCCATATATAAAATAGCATTAGTGAGGTGACCTGTGTAAAAATGAATTTGTAAGGCAGATCATTACACTACCCTGCTTAAAAATCATAATAGCCAACACAGAAGTTGTCCCAGCTTGTTTTGTTTTTAATTAATAGGTCCTTTCATGCATATAAGAGGCACTATTATTTCAGATATATTTGCTTTGCAGGGAAGAGTTAAGACACATACATTTTAAAGGTCTGCTCATTGATAGCTTGCTGACATAACAACAAAATACATAACAAAACTAAAAAAAAAAGTCAAAATAGAGGAAAAAAGCAATATTTTTGCTTTCATTTATATACCTGGCTGCATCAGCTGTCGCTATTTTTTCCCCTCTTCCAAAGGAACATCTGTTCACCAATGCTTGGAATTATAATCTACAAGTATAAATATGCACTGCATCAAGGGAGGTAATGTCAAAAAATTGCCAGTATCCTTTGGATGCTCATCTGCAGTATTAAACTATATTTTTGAAAAAGTCTATCAGCAAGTATGTCATTTGGATTCTATCTATCCTTTTTGGAGAGAAAAAAATATCTAATCCAGGACTTTGCAGGTTGATTTCCTTGAGAACAAAAGACCAGACTCCATTTATCCCTTTTCCAGCAATGGCCCTTGCATACACATAATAAGCAAGATTTAACTTATATTTAGAACCACTGCACATCCTAGCACCCACTGGAGGTTATTTCTAATCTTTATACTCTGCAGGTAAATGAACAGAATATTATTTAGTGAACATAGGTCTTTGATTAATCCTTAGAAATAAGGTATGAAACAGTATTGTAAATCAAAAAGACACAATTTCAGCTGACATAACTTGCATTCTTACTTTGAACAATCAAGTACATGCAAAACTGTCTGCAAGCCTGCTTACATACAAGTTAATAGGCTTCAAATGTTGCCCTCTGTTTCTGCAATCAGGAGAACTCAGGTAGCAGTCTTCTGACTTGCGCAGCACCTTTGCTCCCTCAAGAAGTTGCAAAGAGCGCACAGTTCAGATAAATTAACCAACACAAGTCAAAGGAACACGCCACTTTTGTGGCAGAATGCTGAGAACGAGGGCCCTGCAGCTGGCAATGGTGGGATGCACATTCACGAGGGAGCCCACGATGCCGAGAACAGGGCTCGAGTGCCCCGCAAGTCCACGTCGCTCCCTACTCCATAATTAAGCTTCACCCCTCCCCTTATGAACTTCACCAATCTTGAATAAAAAAATTGAAAATAAAATGAAAACCACCTAAAGGGACGTTTCATCATGTACATTTAAGCTTACTGAAAGAGCAAGCATGAACAGAACTAGGAGGACAATTCCAAGGCTTTTTGGCTAACAAAAACAGCAAGACACATCTCTACAATATGGTCACACTTGTGATCTAATTGTGTCCCCAGGTACAGCTTTCAGTCCTTTTGAATTATACAACTTAAGATAAAGACATGAAAACAAACAGCTTTCAAGGGTAATTGAAGAGTTTTCCACATTCTTAAACTTTAAGATTTAACTTTAAAAATGTAAGCCCACAATTTAAAATTGGTGTTATTGAGATAAAAAGATTTTCTTCTAAATGAATGCAGAGTTTGCTGAACATCCATATCACCTTGTACAACACTGATGAGAACAAAAGCCTAAATTACTTAAATGTCAGATCCAACTCCCAGATTCGCTCGAGGTGAGCACTCCAAAGCAAAATCCCTAGAAGCTGGAACATACACTGTTGACAACTGCCAGGCATGCTGATTCAGTACACTGGTTTAGAGCCTTACTAACATGATGAGGAAAGAATCCTAAATTTATATATATATATAAACATATATATACTTAAGAAGTTTTATTTCCAACGCCTGCTTCTTAGAGACACTCGAAACCTTCTGCAAAGACTAAAAAGGAACGGCTTCGAGCCTGGCAAAAGGCAGTAATAATAGGGACAACTGTAATTCTTGGTTGGTGAGCTCAAGTGGGGACATGCAGATGGTTACGTAGGGAGCTGCTTTACTCTTTTGGATTCCCTTTCACAGATGACAGTATGGGGCGCAGCAAGGGAGCTACTACTCCCGCTTTTACACAGATGGATGAGAAAAGGATGCAGCCAACATCCCGTGCAGCCAGCAAGTTGAATGAGGTGTTAAACAGAGCCAAGAAGAGGGTTTATGTTGTTTACTCCCTCCTGGTAAGGGAAAACAGGCGAACTGTAATTCTCGGGCTGAAAACATCTGAATGCAATTGAACGTTCAGTAGTGGCACAAGCCCAGCCCAGCCACACAGGGAGCTGGCCAAGGGAGACAAACCAGCAGAAAAATAGCCGGGAAGTCCAGCAGCAGTCAGCTCCCTGATTTGCCTTACGCTGCACTAATGCTATCACTCATAGCACAAGGATCAGCCTGGACTGGCAGCCAGTGACAGCAAGGAGAGGGACAGCAGGAGCACTGCAGATTAAATCCTATCAAACTCCTATCAGAAGTTATTTGCTCAAACTGTGTTTGGCCCCTGCTTGCTTCAGAGGTAGGGAGCTTAGTGGTGCTTAATCACTTGAGTTGCAAGGTACCCCTGCTACTTGTCATAGAGTAAAATATAACCTACTTCCATGTGGCAGCGTAAACCCCTGCACAGCCCTCCCCGAGGATGGGATAACACTGCTCTTGCAGGGCATGTTTAATAACGAGGCAAGATGCCTCTTTACAACAGAGAAAAAGGAAACAAAGAACTATAATCTCAAGGTAAAGTGACATATATACTGATGAAAACCAAAGCACTATAGCTATGCTGTAATCATCACCTTCCTTATAACCTCACAGTTACTTCTTTCCAGATATTTTTCCTAAAGATGAGCGATCACATCTAGAATCTCCATATGTCAATAATATTTCTTGAAGAACGAAACATCGGCGGGTATGTTTGTCAAGAAAACCAGGTTCAAAATCCTGCACGAATTCACGTGCTCTCAGGTTTCATGGAGCTGTACTCAAAACAAACATTCCACAGCATTTAGAAACCAAACACATCTCGGACAAAAAACACTTTGTGTTTAGATGTTCTTTCCATCTACTTAGCATTTAAATTTTTGTTCATTTTCTTTATGAAGTGCTTTGAAACACCATATGCATAACAGCTCCATAAATCATGTGGCAGCTTTCAATTTTTTAAAAATTGTAATATGATCATCATAGCGATATGAAAATTAAAGCAATTTCTTGATTCATCTCTCCCCAGCACAACTCCTGTAATTTTGAAAGTCTTCTGCTTTGGCAGTACTGTTCCTGATGTGCTTTTCTGCTGGCAGACCTTGCACAGGTTAGTCTAGTGCTAAAACACTCATGTCTACACCAGTGCACCCCAACAGGCCCAAGCAGCTGCTTTCTCTTTCGTTCCTACGCAAGAGCAAGATAAGAGCTTATCCATGCTCGGCTTCTTGTTCAACCACACAACCCGGAGTCAGGGTTTTCAAGGTAAAACTGCTTTCAGCTGGCAAAAGCCTCAGTGCCTTTCTCGGGCTTTATGGGCTTTTCACTGCTACAGCTGTCAAATCAGTGACAGTTCAGTATGGCTTGTCGACACGCACTCCTGAAAAAAGCACCAACCAGGCTGAGAGCAGCTGATGCCAGTCCTACTTCTTAGGCTGCTCTGAGCTGCCGTACTGCATGTATTGCCTTCCAGCACTCCAGGGCTGTGAGAGCTCCACGGCAGGTCTAGGAGGGTCAAGATAAGTTCATTAAGTCAATTGGTTAATCATCTTCATGATTTGTACTCCCATTTCTTATGAGGCTTTACTTAATAGATTTTCTAAAACCTTAATGAAAATCTAATTAGAGCCAAAGGTCTTTGCAAGAATTTCCCTCTTCATTCCAGATCTCCCCACACACTTTTTTTTCTTTTCTCTCTAAATTATGAAGGGGTGGGAGGGAACAAAGACACCTGCAGCTTCATCCTTGCAACATCCACCTATACTGGAGAGGAGGCACCTTTCTAACTATTTCTCTCTAACTGCATCAACAATGGTAGCAACAATCATTTCACCTTAAAACTACAAATTCAATATTTTCTTTTGTATTCACATGTTTACAATAAATAACACAATAAAGCTCTTGATGCTTTTGAGTATTAGTATTTCACTATAGCAACTTCTATAATGGGAAATACTATGATTAAAGTCAGAGTATTAGACCAGCATAGCAGTTCTTTAAATACATCAATCTTCTAAAATTGTTTTTTTAATCTCACTGTTGAGTACAACTCTTATTCTCTTTTATCAGTTACCTCAGATTCCCAGATCTTCACAATTTCAAATATATATATACACACACACACACACACCAAATAAACCAGACAGTACCTACTGAAGCGGACTGACGCTCAAAGGTTTTATAATTTTTATTACACATGTATAAATTGGATGCTTATGTTACTTTAGAAAACAGAAAAAACCTACAATGATACAACGACAAAAAGTGTTGCTATCTTGAAAGGTATTTCAAGGATATCACTGCACAGTTCTTGCTGCTACCGTACTCAACAGCTGAGAATTCTGCAACTGATTTAAGCATCATCCCCTCAAAATAGTCACCAATGAACACTAGAAAGTAGAACTATTTCAAATATTTATAGAAGTCATGTAAATAAGGCGGTGAAAAGGGGCAGGGGGCCACTAGGTGATGTCTAACACCAACATAGAAGCATAGTATTCGTTTCAACTCTTCTCCTTAATAAACTTATTGTTTTAAAAAAAGATAAGTAGAGCATTAAAAAAGCCTGGCAATTAGGTAGATTATTTAAAATATTTAAACACACACTGAAGACACAGGTTAATTACCATGGTAAATATGAGGAAATACGGGGGAAAACATGAACGCACACTGCATGCCATCACACCTAATCTAACAAAGTATGCAAGACGCCAGAGACCTTCAGGGACTAAAATGATGAAGTCAATTTGTACTATGATTCAATAGAAACAAATGACAAGCAGTTGCAGCTGAAAAGAACAAACAAGGGTACCAAGAGGAAACCAAGTCCTGAGATCTTTGTTCACTCTTCATCTGGCACCTCCTCGAGTTCCCTCGGCTCTGCTGGAGGATGAGTCGAGCGTAAATTGGACAAGGCCATGAGGATTTTCCCCATGAATAGCCTCTAAACAGGCACATCAGCGATGGAGGTGGATGTCACACTGAATAATACACTGAATACAAGCTAACAGTAAAACACTGCCTCGCCAAACCTGAATGCTATTTAGGTCACAGCACTAAGTAAGTAAAATAAGCACGATTATCCAATCCCATTAGATCTCAATCAGACTATGTGCATTCTGGAGCTGCAAACTTAAAGAGATGGACAGATCAGAGAGAGTTCAGAGAAAAGCATCAGAGATGATAA